AGAGGGAGAGGGAGAGGGAGAGGGAGAGGGAGAGGGAGAGGGAGAGTGAGAGGGCTGGGATAGAGAGTAGTGATAGACAAGGGTATTTTAAAACCAAGCCATTCACCAACCTGTGTGTTCATACTTTGCACAAGACATATCAACCTGGTCTGTTAGTTCAAATCCTGTCACTCCTTCTAACCACAGTCTGAAGTCATGGTACAATGTCTTTCTGAAGAGACAAAAAACAAGTGAAAATCAYTTTAATCATTATGCTATGACAATACTTCATTCTGAATTTCGCATTTTAAAAGATAATGTGTTTACCAATGCTATGCATTGAGACAACTGGTTGAAAAGAGCCTGGAGATGCAACCACAAGCTTAAATAAATTTTAATGATTTTAAAGCCCCAATTATAGTGTACGCCGAGATTATCTGTGAAAGGTCTTAAGAAAAAATCGTGAGGATCATGAGAAACATATATGAAGGGTCCGAATGCTACGTGAAAGTAAATTGGGAAATGACAAGTTGGTTTCCTGTAACAGTTGGAGTTAGGTAAGGTTGTTATGTTTGGGTTGCACGGCGAAAGGAGAACTCACTCCAGAGCTAAACTGCCGTATTGGTAGGGCCGTAGATGCTTTTAACAGACTGATGCCAATAATGAAAAACGAATCAAACACCTTACAAACCCGGTGATGCTAAGTTCCAGTCCCGCTGAGTCCACCAGCTGAGACTGTCCTGGTTTTCGATTAGTTCAAATTCCGTTTCTCGACCATGCTTGTAAATAGCCAACTGGTTTGCCTCCTTGCCAGTTGGGATTCTTAAAACACTTTATGCTTCTTTGATTATTTCTGCATTTCAGTTTCATTTCAGTGTCCCCAATTAGATGTATAAACTAAATACATCGACACTTAAATAAAGTTATTTATTTCTATTTATTTATTTATCCGCCCAGGATAGAGGACACTGGACAAAAGTGATGTCGGCGCTACGTGGTTGACCCACGACAGCAACAGATGTTGATAATCTACAATGTACTCTCTTTATTCTTGTCAATATTTTTCATTTGACTCACAACTTTTCTTATTTCAAATGGTATTTTTTAAATTTGACCTTCAACATTTCGTATTCTACACGCTACTTTTGATATTTCGGATTTCTTTATTGTTTTGAAATGCATGTTTTCGTGTTTGACATTCTACCGCAATCCAATAGATCGATATCGTGGGCTCACTCGATAATTCTTGTCGTATTTTGACCAAGTTAGCACTTTGGCGGACATTGGACACCACATGGACCCATATACGAGGTGCTGCGAGGTGTCCCTTGAGGCACTTATCGGTTATCATCGGGAGCTATCGGCGACTTGTCGTTGATACGAAGTGTTCGCGAGATCTGTTTGCCAGTGAATAGTGACAAAAAAAGGATTCACCTCATCAGAATAAAACTAAACAATTTGGGTTCCAAAACAAATCTAAATAAGAACGAAAAAGATTTCTCTTAGTTGCTATTAGACGTAGCCAAGTTTTAAGATTTAACTCAAATCAGTATCAAAATAATAGCAATAATATTTAGCGAATTTTAAATTTTTACTTTCCTGTAAAAACTGAAACTAGTTCCCTTGAAAGTAATGTATGCTAACTGTTTGGTGGGACAAAATTATAATTCTACTGGAAAACACCTGCTACAGTTATTGGCTCACTGTTGTCTGAGTTGAAACCTTGAATAATTTGGACCCTGACTGTGTTCCATAAATGACTTATTATTTCAAAGAAGAAGATTCTTGTAAAAGGATTTTATTGCAAAGTTTAAGGTAATGGATGAAAGTACACGACAGTTGTTGGGTCGAAACTGTCTACTTTTATCATTTAACTTCGAAATAAAAGACTTCTCATTTTACCATTCAAAAACGCAAATATATCTAGAAGCTGAGAAGTATATTATCACTGACGGACCTGACGCGCAGTAGATTAAAGATTTCATAAATTATAGATTTTTCGTTCAGTGGTGGGGAAGAAGCAACAATAAGACATTCCTGTGTACATGCTGAATCCAGTGAAGCAGCCTGCGATTTAAGAGACCACAAATGTTTCTTGTGTCTTTATGGATTATTTCGAGACCTGTAATTTTTGCTCTCAAAAAATAAATCAAAATGTAGGACAAATATTTGGTTTACAGTTTTATTTCAATAAGAATGTTTACAATAAAAACTACTGCGAGATGACGTTGCTATAAGACTCGTAGTCTGTTGCCGTGACGCTGTCTCAATAGGGTCGTCACGTGACTCCTTTGAAGATGACTCTCTTTTCCAAGAAAATCGGATTCACTGCATTCCTTTTCTGCGTCCCTGCGAAAATGGCTGCAATAAAATCGCTCAAAGAAATCACAGACACCTTGGAAGAACAACTGACCTGCTCCCTTTGTCTAGATGTATTCACTCAGCCCAAAACTCTCTCCTGTCTTCATAGTTATTGTACAAGATGTATCGCCCAGTGGTATCAGAAGAGCGGGAATCAAGGCGATGATCGAATTGACTGTCCGATGTGCAAGACGACAGTAGTTGTGCCCGACGGCGATACTTCAAAGCTACCTTCGTCGTTCTACTTGGATTCTTTATTGCAGCTGCTAAACAAGATGAAAATCGAAGTTGATCAACAAGATTTGCACCATTGTGAGAGCTGTGATAAGAAGCAAGTCTTGGATTCATTTTGTACGCAGTGCAATGGCTTGATATGTGAGGCTTGCTTCAACGTTCATACAACCCTCAAGATATTTAAACGAGTCGAAGATAGACACGAGCCAATAAAGCTCAATCAATTTAAGAAGGAAAACGTAAACAGTTTCATCAAAAACCAGATGCTGTGCGAGTTCCACGAGAAAAAAAAGCTTGAATACTACTGTAAAGAGGAAACATGTAAACTCAGCGTTTGCCAAAAATGCACTACTTTGAATCATCAAAACCACCAACTGCAGACCATAGAAGAAGCTGCAAAGAAATCAAGCGAATCGATCGAAGGAGCGGTGAATCGAGTCGAGCAACGGGAACAAAACGACGGACAAGAATTGGAACAATCTAAAGAAAACATAGAGAGAATTCGAAGAGAGATTGTCAAGGCAGAGAGGCACGTTGATAATGTGGTTGAAAATATTTGCGATATGGCCAAAGAACACGGAATAGCGATGAAGGAGGAACTGAAGCAGACGCTCCAGGAACTAACAACAGCAAACAATGAAGAACAAAAGGCTATTTCGAAAACAAGAAAAAAAGATTCAGAATTTGTGCAGCACTGCCGAGCACTGTTGGATAGAAAAGTAGAATATGAGGTAATAAAAAGTGAGAAAATGATTCTAGAAAGAAGTCAAATGTTATCAGAAGCTCCTTCGATCTTGTGCCGTCAGCCAATCCAGCGTGACATGACAATACTTTACTCCGTGACAGAGCAAGTCATGCAATCACTGCTAGACATCGGCAGGATTGTGAAGAGTGTGACGGACCCTGCTCGATCCACATTGGAAACAACTCCTGGTGTCATAAACGAGTGCAAGATAATCACCAGGAATACAGAAGGAAAAGCGTGTCCCACAAGAATCGAGTCTATTGATGTTAGAATCAAAGATGTGGAGGGCAACGAGGTGGAAAAGGAAGTGTCAGAAGAGCAAACTGGAAAATACCGTGTGAGTTTTAAGCCACAAAAAAATGGACGGCACGAAATTSAGGTGAAAATTGGAGGAGAAAGGATAAAGAACTCGCCTCAAAATGTATACATACTGAAACCTTTTGAAGACAAAGATAACTTGCCGCCATGTGTGGTCCTCTAAGTGAGAGCCAATGGGGTATTAGAAAACGAAGTGACTCAACGTCCAGCAGTCCGAAATTTTTCCATATTTCTCTTTGGGATAGGCCAATCTTTCCTTCTAAACTGTTTTCGAAACTACTCGGATTTTTTGGTTTTCTGCGCTTGGGGATTCTAAATAAAGATAAACAGCTATGCTATTAGGAAAATTTAACGCGACTAGAGTTAGTGGCGGATTTCTAGGGATCGTGTATATTCATCGTATTAGGATAATTTTACGCTACTAGAGTTAGTGGCGGATTTCTGAGGATCGTGTGTGTTTATACTTTATTAGGATAATTTTACGCGACTAGAGTTAGTGGCGGATCGGTTTTGCAAATCCCTCATTATTATCATGAGCAGATTAGAATCGAATTTAATATTTCAAGTTTTGTGATATAAGTGAATGAGCTGATCAGCTGTGTCTTTATATCTCATATTGTAAACTATGTTTGATTATTACCCTTCAATATCATTCAAACTTGTACAATACTCACAGGGAAACGGCTATATTTTGATTTCTTCTCTTAGAAAAGTAACTTTGCTCTTATCGTTAATATCCATCCATCCATCCATCTATCCAGGAAACGGCTATATTTTGATTTCTTCTCTTAGAAAAGTAACTTTGCTCTTATCGTTAATTACAGTTAATCTTGTACCATATCAGATTGTGATATTAGTTTAGCTGATCAGCTGTGTGTTTTTTCTGATATTATAGACTTGATGAAGTAATTCCAATCATGTTGTAAATATAAATTAGTAAAGTACCTCTTCTGTTTCATGGATTCGTTAGAGTACAAATACTGTAAGTGTGTATCATAAATACCACTAAATACTGCTAAATTATGCTAGAGTGCAAACAATTAATGCGTGAAACACTAATTACTGAATAGTATTAAATAGTGCTAATTAAACAATAGAAAACAATAGATTTTGCATGAAATTGAGCTATTTAGTATTACTAAAGTTTCACGGTTATATTGTTTATTGCACTCTAATTCTATTGTTTTCTATTGTTTAATTRGCACTATTTACTACTAAATAGTGCAAAGTGTTGCACACTTTTAGTGTTTGTACTCTACTAGTAAAAATGACCAGCAAGGTAAATATATGAAAGGAAAAGTTTCAATTATAAATGACTGACCATTATTATAAGCCCTGTGATACAAACAGCTGAACTATATTTACTACCTAGTTAATTATATATATTTTTTCTACACAAATGATAGTCACAAATATTCTTATCATTAAATCCCCTGAAGAGTGAAGCGATTCACGAAACAGGCTTGTGGGGAAAAATGTAGTTTGACTTATACTATATATATATATACTCGATTGCAGAAACCTTGTAGTATACATTTATACAAATATCTAATTTATTCAGTATATTTAATGATATGCAAACAGAAAAATCGCTTTATTTATTGTTTGTTTCATTCAATGACTGTCAAAATATTTTTTTCTTGTATGTTAGATCGGACAGATTATAAATCAGTTGGTTTTAAGCATTGAAAATGGTTATTTTGTATTATGCATCTCATTAGATATGTGCATAAATGTATAAATGTATACTACAACGTTTCTGCAATCGAGTGTCTGATATACTTTCGATATACTTGTATTTATATTTGAAACGGCCATAATTTTTGCAAATGGCTGTATATATATATATATTAGTATTTTTTATTTTTTTATTTCCTTCCTCCTCATATTTACATATCCATATATATAATTAAYGTTTAGAGTTATTAGGTTACCCTCACGGATTTATAGAACAAAAACAAAAAAGAGAACGCCAATAGAAACGAAAAGAAACAAAGAAATAAATCATTATATTGATTTAAGACAGTCCTGAAGTTTTAAAACAATTTTACCTTTAATTCTTGATTCATCACTTTTTTTTCCCGTTGTCTGTTATTTTATAAAAAAGGCCTAATTTTTCATATTTGTCATGCTTGTCATACTTGTTCTTTCTTCATGTTGCTGTGTTTATTTTTGTTGATTCTCCAACTAAAACAAAAAGATCTATTCATTGTGATTTATAGCAGGAATCAGACCAGACTGGCTTTATTAACTTATTATCATAATAATAAACCGATAAAGGTGATTATTGGTGCAGTCACTGGCTGTCACAATGATGTGGTATATATTTAGATCAAGCTTGTTTTTCACAAATGGTCCACTTCTCACTTGATATTCAAAATATTTCATTTCTAGAAACCAYGAAGGGCATCCTCACTGATGCATGGTATTTGAAATTGGCTGCTCTAAAAGAAATCGTAGAAAAGTGATCCCACTAACAAACTATAGAACTGATTTATTGTTAAGTGATGGGAAAGAAGCGACAATCCAGCAACCAAGACATTTGAGGGTCCCTAATAATGTTCATATTGAAATGAAACAGGCAGCGATGTGAAACCCACTTTGAGCTTCAGTGAATTCATTGTTTTAAGTGACCACAACTTCTTCATGTCCAAACAACAAACAAACAAACTATAGAACTGATTTATTGTTAAGTGGTGGATAGAAGCGACAATCCAGCCACCAAGACATTTGAGGGGCCAGTAATAATGTTCATAATGAAATGAAACAGACAGTGATGTGAAACCCACTTTAAGCTCTAGTGAATTCATTGTTTTAAGTGACCACAACTTCTTCACGTCTCTTTATTGATTATTTCACTTAGACGTTTTCTACTCTCAAAAGGTTAATGGAAATAGCACAAAGATTCGTGCAACAACTGCTTTTCAATGTGGATTTTTTAGAAACCTTTGATTTCAGCTGCAAGAAGTTGTGGTCAAGGGTAAACGGTTAGATAATTATGTTTCCATGACGCATTCTCCACATTCTCTTTTCATGTGACTACTTTAAATATCACATTCCAGTTCCAAGAAATCTGTCTCGCTGCATTCCTTTTCTGCGTCCCTGTGAAAATGGCTGCAATCGAATCGCTCGAAGACATCATAGACACCTTGGAAGAACAACTGACCTGCTCCCTTTGTCATGATGTACTCACTCAGCCCAAAACTCTCTCCTGTCTTCACAGTTATTGTGCAAGATGYATCGCCCCTGACTTATATCAGAGCGGGAATCGAATGGACTGTCCATTTTGCAACACGACGGTAGTTGTGCCAGATGGTGACCCTTCGAAGCTACCTTCGTCGTTCTACTTGGATTCTCTTCTGGACTTGCTTCATGCGATGAAAAGCATAGCTAATGAACCAGTTTTGCCCCATTGTGTGAGCTGTGAACAACCGCGAGTCTTGGTGGCGTTTTGTCAGCAGTGTAATGGCTTGATATGTGAGGCTTGCTGCAACGCCCATCGGTTATTCAGAGAAATACGAGATGAACACCAACCAATAATGCTCGATCCATTTAGGGAGGGAGACGTAAACAGTTTCATCAAAACCCAGATGCTGTGCAAGTGCCACGAGAGAAAGAAGCTTGAATACTATTGTCAAGAGGAAACATGTAGACTCAGCGTTTGCCAAAAATGCGCTACTTTGAATCATCTAAACCACCAACTGAAGAGCTTAGAAGACGCTGGACAGGACTCAAGGAACTTGATCGAAGGAGCGGTGAATCGAGTAGAGCAACGAAAACAAAACGATGGACAAGAATTAAAACAATCTAAAGAAAACATAGAGAGAATTCAAAGAGAGATAGACGTGGCAAAGAAGGACGTTCAAAATGTAGTTAAAATGATTTGCAAGATGGCCAAAGAACACGGAATAGCGAAGGAGGAGGAACTCAACCAGACGCTCCAGGAACTAACRACAGCAAATCATGAAGAACAAAAGGCTATTCAAACAAGACTAAAAGATTCAGATGAATTTGTGCAACACTGCCGAGCACTGTTGAAGAGAGATGTAGCATATGAGGAAATAGAAAGTAAGCAAATGATTCTAGAAAGAAGTCAAATGTTATCAGAAGCTCCTTCGATCTTGAGCCRTCAGCCAATCCAGCGTGACATGACAATACATTACTCCGTGACAGAGCAAGTCATGCAATCACTGCTAGACATCGGCAGGATTGTGAAGAATGTGACGGACCCTGCTCGATCCACAATTGAATCAGTCAAGAAAGGTCCTCATGGTTTTATAAACGAGTGCAAGATAATCACCAGGAATACAGAAGGAGAAGTGTGTCCCACGAGAATCGAGTCTATTGATGTTAGAATCAAAGATGTGGAGGGCAACGAGGTGGAAAACAAAGTGTTTGAAGAGCAAACTGGAAAATACCGTGTGAGTTTTAAGCCACAAAAAAATGGACGGCACGAAATTCAGGTGAATATTGGAGGAGAAAGGATCAAGAACTCGCCTCAGAATATAGAGATACTCGATTTGAAGGAGTTGTTAAAACCTGTGAAAACCTTTGGAGAAAAGGGAAGTGGCAGAGGACAGTTTAATGTTCCATGGTCGATAGCAGTCAGTGATAATGGAGAGATAGCCATTGCTGATTGTGATAATCACCGTATTCAAATATTCAGCCTTGATGGAAACTATTTAAGAGAGTTTGGCAGCCAAGGAACAGGAGAAGGTCAACTGTTGTATCCATGTGGAGTGGTGTTTATTGAGGACAGAATAATTGTCAGTGATGGTCCAGATGATAAAGACAGGATACAAGAGTTTGACTTGAACGGTACTTATGTAAGAACCATCTACAGAAATGACCAATGGTTTGACCCGCATGGAATGTGTGTTAACGATGATAAAAACATCGCAGTGTGCTGTTGGGGAAAACAAGAACTGGGTATCAAACCAAGTATCAAGGTGTTCAGTAAACAAGGAGATTTAGTTCATGAGTTTGATATGCCTGAAAATGATGAACCGCAGCCTCGGTACATCACCTATGGTAACGGGAAATACTTTGTATCTTATTTAGACAGAAACTATGTTCGTGTTTTTGATGTGAATGGAGTTTTCTTGTACAAGTTTGGAGGAGACGAAGAAAGTAGTGATAGTGTATATGGACTGGCTGTTTATGGTCCAGACATGATTCTTGTCTGTGATCGTTATAATAACCGTGTTCAACTTTTCACACAAGAAGGTCAGTTTATAAGGTCATTTGGTAGCCGTGATCCAGGTGTTGGTCAGATGGATGGTCCTGTTAATGTAGTAGTTACAGATGATGGACGAGTGTTTGTGCTGGAATTGAGGGGTGAAAGAGTTTCTGTTTGGTGTTAATAGATATTAACCTTTCAACACTTTTACGATATTAAATCCTTTCATACAGTGGAATTTAAATCACACTATTATTTTTTTCATAATTTTTTCATAATTTTTTTAGAAAAACATTGAATTTATTGATCTATATTGTAATTATCATGAGTAAACTCAAATTAAGTATTTCTTYTTTTTGAAATCCTTTGATTTTTTCAATAAGTCTTAAGAACATTAGTTTTGATAATCATTTTCATGAGTAGAAATGTTTTAAACATTAATTTTAAGGTACTAGCCTTAGCTATAGCTTTTCAACTTTGTCTGTCACCGGCACTTTTAAAGTGCTGCTATGCAGGCTACGCTTTGTATTGATATTAAATATTGTAGACTTGATGAAGTAATGCCAATGTTGTTGTAAATATTTATTAGCAAAGGGAAAAGTAATTGGTTTGTAAATAACCCATATTTAGTTTAATGATTAAAAATATTATCAGTTGATGTAATGTGTGATATGTGTTTATATTCTTTCATTATAAATTATATATATTATGCATTGTCCTTTTATTCTATCAATGAATGTATATTAATCATAATATATGATGAGAGGCAAAATTATTTTGAGCTCAATCGTAACTACTGTAGTGTCTGGCTTAATGTTACTGGTCAAAATGTCTGGCAAAGCAAATATTTGACCAGACAATTCATGATATTTTTATTCTGAAGAGATAACTAGCTAAAAACTAGTGTGAGCAGCATCTGTGTTCCTAATGAAACAGTAACGATAAAAGGGTAAATTTTACACCATGAAAAGATGAAAAAACTTACTGACGTTTTGGACGCTAGTACTTCATTGGAGTAAAAGAAGGACTTAGCTTCCAAAACGTCAGTTTTTTCATCTTTTCATGGTGTAAAATTTACCCTTTTATCGTTACATATTTTTATTCTGACTGGTCAATTGTCTGATGACCAGTAATAATATTAATAACTTTAATATTAATAACTTTAATATTTATAATGAGCATATTCCATATGCAAACGTGTATACTCACATCTAATCAAGCTCACCACAGCCTCTGATACAAACGTTATACCTTTGGTAGCATACTTATTATCTCTGACCTTAATGTTGCTATGTATATAATCAAGCTCATCACAGTCTCTGTGATACAAAAGTTATACCTTTGGTTGCATACTTATTATCTCTTACCTCAATGTTGCCATGAGTTTATTAGAATGATTCTTCAAGTCATCACTCTAAAATAATTAGAAATGTATAAATATTTGATTAAATTTTAACTACAGTCTAAAGATCTGAGTTTTGAAAACACGTAGCTATTTCAAGAGAGGGTCACATCAAAAGAGGGTCATTCCAGGGTCATTATAAAGCTAGGTGACTATTATTTAGGGCTTTCAGAATGTGTTGGAGTAGTTGGTCATTAGTTCTGAATAGGCTAGCTGTGATCTGATAAAGGAAAAAAAAGGTATTTTATAGAAAAGAAAACGTAGCCGGCAGTTAACTTAAAAGTAGTTAACCACTGGAGCTTTGATGGCTGCTAGCTTATTCTGAAAGCCCCGATCACTTCAAGACAGTAAGGGATTCATGTTTCTGCCTCCTATAAGTAAGCATTGCTATATCCCACATAAAAGCTCAATAGTTTAGCTAGAATATCTCAGAAAATAAAAAATCTAATAATTGTGGAAAAATTTGATTATAATTTGTTACAATAAATCTATCCCGAATTYGCTTGACTGACCACGAAACAATGGTTTGAAGTCGAGACTGAACTTGATTCTTTTATTCATCAAGTTCAACCTCGACTTGAAACCATTGTTCGTGACCAGTCAAGCGAATTCGGGATAGGTCTATTATTGTTTATTGTCCTGTGAAAATAAAATGAAATTGCCTCATATTGATCAATGTAGTATTTTTTTAACAGATACTGTGTAGTTGTTTGTGAGACGGTATTTTTTCTACTGGGAAGACTGCTACAACAGTGGTTGGTTTGCTATCATGGGTCAGAACTATGAAATAAAGGCAATCAAACTTAAGCCAGATTTAAGCCAATCAGAAGCAAGCAGCAAAATGAGGCAATGGGAATGAGAGATTATGATTGACTGAGATTTTGCTCTATCATGATTGACTTTTTTATCTTGATCTTTGTTCAATTGTTACCAGTTAGGGTCTGTACCATTGTTAGCACAGTAAAACAATATTAAAATCATAAAACGTTTTATGTYATTAAATAAAATACAAACCTGTTTGAACTTGTACAAGTCGTTAGATTTTTCATTGAAGTTCAGCTTCAGAAGTTCTGTCCTTAGTTCCTTGAAATATTTCTCATCCGAGATGAAGTTTGGTAGCGAACAATATGTGAATGGCTTGCTGTAGATGACAGCTCCTGAATCTGAGAGGGAACAAGAAAAAATAAAATAAAACAAAAGTGGCTTTGTTATGACTTTGATATAATGCAATTTCCCAACTCTGCCAGAGGTCTTGGTCTTATCTATATATTGCATCTCATGTGAGAAGAGTTAATAAGGTCTTTCCCTTGATTCAGGAATTTTTCTTTGCATTCTCAATTTTTCACAAAAGCAAGTACCTAAATCAACTTTCAATCTGTGAGTTAGCTGTGATTAGCAGTGACTTAGATCTGTGTGTTAGCCATGTGTCTGGCTGAGACTGTTAGCCTAGAGGTTGCTTCAGGGTTTGTCAGACTTAACCGTTCCTTGACTTAGATCAGCTCAGAGGTTGTTTTACGGTTTGATGTGTGAGTTAACGATGCCCTGACTTGCATCAGCCCAGAGTTTGTTTCAGGGTTCAATCTGTAGAGTCAGTAGTGCCCCGACTTAGATCAGCCCAGAGCTCGTTTCAGAGTTTGACCTTTGAGTTAGCCATGCCTTGATTTAGATCAGCCTAAAGGTTGATACAGGGTTTATAATGAATTGCGTTGATTTTAAAGGAGATTGCACTATAACTACTATGATAGCATCGAGAGGTTATTTACTAGGCATTCTTGCACCAGCATTTGCGGTTTTGATGGGAAGTCACCAGGAGAAATAAATTTGACTTCTAAAACCTCTGGCACTCATCTACAAATACCAAAACCGCCCCTTAAAAGGTGATTCTATTGTTCTTTTATTGTCCTGATGACCAAATATAAATCTAGGGCTTATTTTCGGAGGCTTACGGTAAAACCTTTGAAGCTTAGGTCATATGAATATATGCTGATGCAATAGAGGGCTTGCACCATCATGTGATGGCAGCCATGACAGGAGGCACAACAATTGAGCCTTTTTCCCCTGGGAAAGTGACTCTTTCTCAAGTAAATCAGATTGGAGCTGCCATAACGAGATGGTACAAAGCCTCTATACGCATATTGTAAATGGTTCCCTAATTAGTAATGGTTACCTTTGAATGATTTACCATTTCTGAAAAACAAAGTAGCAATTTCGATACATTAGAAAAACGTTGTTTGAGTTAAACAACTGGTTAAAATGGAGATTTATCTAACGTACCTAAAAGCATCCGAAAACTGAGCCTTGAAATCTTTCTCCATCAAGTATTCACTCAACAAACTGTCTCTTGTATTTTCCTCCAATTTCGTCTGTTTGACTTCATTTTTAACGCAGTTTTCAGCTTCGTTACCTTCACTAGCTTTTCTTTTAGAAGACTTCATGTCAAAAGTTAAATATTGTGAGCACAAAGTAAAGAAACTTAGTAAATAAAAACTGATTTTGTGCAAATCTAGGAGAACAAGCACGTGAAGGATAAGTGGAAGGCGTTCCACGTGCGTCGAGAAACACAGGAAACCCACTTTGGTTCTAAAAAGCAATAACCAAAAAAAAAAATACTTTAAAAAAAACTTTAAAGTAAAGCTCTAAAAATCTATCAAATTAAGTTTGTAACTATTCGCCCTTTATCTAGTTCTTATGATTTTCATTTTATTCATAAATCAGAATTTTTTAATTGGGTACCCTGTGGATGAAAGATGCGCGATCCTGGGTACTTATCAAATCCAAGATGGTGGTAAGTTTAGACTTTCGTTCTTTTTATCAAAAAACTTGCAAAAATGACGACTTTTATCTCGATATTTGTGCTTAAATCATGAAAATAACATCTGTTATCTACACAGCTTCCATTATCGCTGCTTCGGACGGCACAGAATCATCCTATGGTGAGAAAGATYGAAGTTAATTTTGAGGTTTTTTTACTTTATTTTGCTTGACCGTCATTCATCTTTGATTTCTTCAGCTTGTAGAGTTGAAGAATGGCGAGACGTATAACGGACATCTTGTTAGCTGTGATAACTGGATGAATATTAATCTAAGAGAAGTGATTTGTACATCAAGGGTAAGAAAGATCTGTGTCTTGTACATGTACAGGGATATTTGTTGCGAGGTGGATAGAATGGGGAGGGGGGAGGGGGTAGTTAGCGGGTTAACTATTTTTGATATTTTGCCCCCTGTGTAAACTGAAATGAAAGAAAATTTGCAAAATACTTCATTTTACAGTTCCATTCAGTGACCACAAATAATAGTTCCAAGCCGAGGCTGGAGTTACAGCGCATGATAAACTGTAGTTCTGTAAAATGGAGTATTGCATTAGCAAAACATTTATTCCTCAAAAACGAGGAGGGGAGGGAGCCTCTCTTGATAGGTCTCCACATTAGCGATAGCACAATTCATGTCTCTTTTCACTCTTGTCTATTTTCAAGGATGGTGACAGGTTTTGGAAGATCCCAGAATGCTTTATCCGTGGTAGTAATATCAAATATCTACGTATTCCTGATGAGGTAAGGATGCCTCTTCTATGCTTACCCCACCCCTACCCTAGAGAGGATTGGTTTTAGAACAATCTTACCTCACTCCAGTTTCACCAAAAAATACCTTTCAGATTCTATGCAATCCTGAAGTATTACTCTTCTATTATCCACTCATCCCATCATAGAGGGGATTTATTTGAGAACGATCCTACTTCACTCCCCCTTTCCCACATAGATACCTCTTTAAACAACCTCTTATCAAATATAATGCAAATTGTGCTGTAGGTTATAGATATGGTTAAAGAAGAGGCCAAGCAGCAGGGAAGAGGCCGAGGAGGAGGACGAGGAGGTAAGATATGCCCTTATGCATCCTTAATATAATACTTACAACAATGGCCAATCATGATAACCTCCCCAACATTAGTCATAGCTCAATCATACCTCATTTTTGGCTGAAAATGACTGACAAGGCAAATATTTGACCACATAAGTGCCAATACTCCATATTACAGTTCCCTTCAGTGACCACGAATAATGGTTCCAAGTCAAGGCTGGAGTTTTCTTGCATAGCAAAACTACCGCTTACTGTATCATGCACGGCAACTCCAGCCTCGGCTTGGAACTATTATTCGTGGTCACTGAAGGGAACTGTAATATGAAGTATTCTAGCCAGACATTATCAGAGGAATCAGTGGCTGTTATTATGTTATTTTAAGCCCTTATAATATGGTTTTTTAGTATAAATACACAGGTAATTATTTGAAATCTCGCGCACTGATTGGTCAAGAAACTCAGATTATCACACGATATTCACTTCACCTTCAGTGAATAATTGTTAAATAATGGATTCCTCTATGACTGAATAGACCCTTTCACAGTCCCTGCGCCATCTTGAAAGGTAGCCGTTCCTTTGCATCGAAGCGAGACAAATGGTGAGCTTGCATTGATAGAGACCTTTTTTTAACGCCTTGGACAATTATTCACATGTCTCTATTATTGCAAGCTCACTGTTTGTCTCGCTTCGATGCAAAGGAACGGCTACCTTTCAAGATGGCGCCGGTAACCGTGAAGGGGACTATTATGTGAAGCAATCACCTTCATTAGTTATTCAATAAACAAGTTGCATTGTGGTGTAACTTGTAACAAAAGCTGTTTCTAGATCTACCCTGTACCCAAGCTAGACCACAATGCACCTTCACTATCTCACAAAAGAAATAATCAACACACTAGTCAATATTAGATCTGCAGCTCTTTCGGCTCATATTTACATTTTTTCAGGGCGTGGTGGTCGTGGAGGTGGTGGCGGCGGCGGTGGTGGCCGTGGATTCAGTGGTCGTGGAGGTGGACAAGGACGAGGTGGAGGAAGAGGAAACAAAAGAGGCGACACTGCTGGCAGATAGAATAAATCTAAAACTCTAGGTAGAATTTCAGGTAGATGTCTATTAAATGTATGTACATGTATGTACTCCAAAATGTGTTTTTTTCAAAGACACATCAGTTTTTCTGGTTTCCTGCTACAGAAACCTAACTTTGTTACTTGCTCAAACTCTATTTAAGATACTCTAGTGTAAATAATTCAAGACTTGCTTCACTGAAACTATTTACAACTTTTTTCTTTTTCACTCCAACGAAGGACTAGCATCCGAAACGTCAGTAAGTTTTTTTATCTTTTCACAGTGTCAAATTTCCCCTTTTATTTTTTGTTTCATTAGAAACACCGATGCAGCTCACACTAGTTTTTAGCTATCTCTTCTTTTGTTCTTTTTTGTCAAGTACTTTGATAAGTATAAAGAGTTCATACTGTACATTTTTCTAGATATACAGAGCTAAAAATAATGGCTGCTCAATGGCTGGACATTATGGCTGACCACATTAGATTGATCAACATCATGATCTGTCGATGTGGTCAGTCAAGAGGAATGGCTGGAGTGGCATTAAGCTGGAGTTTCAGACATTTCTGCTGTTTATCTGTTATATTTAGAGCTCTCTAATATTAAGGGGCGTATTGTATTTCGTAAAGCAGGAAAAATGATATCTTTTTAGCATGACAAGAAATCTAATTTCCAAACTTTACTTACAAATACTTACATGGTGGCCTCAAAACCCTTTTTCTTAAATAATGGGGGGGAAAACCATGTCATAAACAAGGCATATCTGTGAAGGAAGGGTGTGTAAGTGCACTCAAAAAAACCTCGTCTATCTCCTAGTGAATTTAATAATAGATTCTGTAGGAAAAAATCACGAAAAAAGCTTGTTGACAATTTCTTGATGGCTCAGTGGACCTGGAAAAGAGAAAAAAAGGTTCAACTTGTCCATTGCAGGGCTTTCAGAATGTTATGGAGTAGTTGTTCACAAGTCGGTAGTAGCTGCCTGTGATGCCATAGATTAATGATACATTTTTAATAGAAAAGAAAAAATAGCCAGAAGTTAACTTCATAGGTACAGCTAGAGCTTTGGCAGCCTCCAGCTTATTCTCAAAGCCCTGCAATGGAAAATTWTTTTTTTTTGCTGCGGTAAGCCAAAAATTTAAAAGGAACTCAGAATGATTACTTTTGATTAGTGGCAGCAAAAAACGAATTTGAATAATAAAAAGCTGTTTGAAATGTCTGAGTTCCAGTAATGTGGATAAAACTCTTAGAAAATCCTTACACTCTCTTGATTCTATGGACAAACTACTTTTTGTATTTAAGTTATTAGAAACGTTTGCAATAAAAGATATATATGGCTGTACTGTACCTTTAGTTGTCAGTGTGTCCTGATATCTGTTGGTAATGGCTTCTTTCTTGACTTTTTGGTTTATTTTTTTTACTGAAATAAAAAAGTTATTTGTTTCATCATTTGATGATACATGATGGTGATAATACATGATGATGGCGATGATACATGATGGTGATGATGAAACATGATGGTGATGATGATACATGGTGATAATGATACATGATGGTGATATATGATGGTGATGATACATGATGATGATACATGGTGATGATGATACATGATGGTGATATATGATGATGGTGATGATACATGATGATGGTGATGATGGTGATGATAAAGATGGTGWTGATSATGGTGATGATGATACATGATGGTGATGACAATGGTGTTGATGGTGATGATAAGGATGGTGATGATATGCTGATGGTGATGAAGATGATGCTGATAATGTGATAATAATAGTGATGACATGAGTGGTGGTGTATGATAAATGGTGGTAGTGATGATATTGATGACTGATGTTGGCAATGATGGTGATGTTGATGATGGTGGTGGTGATGATGGATAATGGGGATAACAATGGTGATGACAATAGTAGTGGTGTTAGATGGTGGTGGAGACAATGTTGGCGATTATAATGGTGGTGCATAATGGTGATGATAATGATAATGCTGGTGCATAATGATGATGGTGATGATAACGGTGGAGATGATGATGATGATTATGTCATGTATACTTACCAAGCTCATTYGTACGCTTGACTTCCTCTACCAAAGGATGTGTGGAGAAACCCTCTACCATGGATTCTATATCAGCAGCCATGTCAGTTAACTTCTAAGTATACCAAAAACAAGACATCAGCATTCAAGCTATTTAATAGAACTGATTTTGTACAAGTGAGTGTGGGTGTGACAGGAAGGGGTTATAAGAATATATAGAATTTGGGGTATTGGGGGAAGGAATAGTGAGGTTATTGCCCTTGATATCCATGACAAAGCATCATCCAGGTTACATCCATATGAATGTATGTTTTTTCATCTTTTCACGGTGTAAAATTTGCTCTTTTATCATTACTGTTTCATTAGAAACACTGACGCAGCTCACACTAGTTTTTAGCTAGTTAGAATCAAAATTATCTGAGACAAGAGAGTAGGGAGGCACCCTTGCTTCCCTTTACCTGGGGGGTACTCCCTTATATTCGCTATACGGGTACGTGCTGCCAAACAGGGTATGGTTTTCAGCGATTTTACTCTGGAACAGGGTATATAAAATCGTGCTTGCTCTGAGACAGGGTATATGAAATCACACTCTCTCCTCTCATGAACAGGGTATCTATTTTCACAACACAGGCACTGGGTATGTTTTTCAGCGATCTTGCTCTGGAACAGGGTCAGGGTTCAGAGGGCTCAGCGGCACATCCCTACCCTAAACGGGCAAGAGTACCCCCCGGGCCCTTCACACTGTACCTTTAGACCATCACATTCTTCAGTTGACTTTTCCAACTTTTTCCTCAGTTTTTCCACATTTCCCTCAGGTTCTTGTCCAGTGCACTCTTCATTGCATCTCTTCTTTCCTGTCACACCATGGCTTGATCTTATTTCTTCAACCTGTTTCAGTATATTTCTTTGTGCTTGACGATTAAGACTCTTTAATAACTCATCCTCGATCTTGAAATTTACTATCAAAATTGAAGTTCAAAAAAATTTGTTATTTCTTTGTTCAAAGCTACAAACTGTTTGAAAGACAGGTCAGACTTCATGAAGAATACAGTACATAATATGAAGGGGTGTGTGTGAAGCAAAAAGTTTAATCTTGAGGAGACACTTCATGAGAAAGTTAAGATAAACATATTGTACAAATTTCTACTAAGTACATCTCACACACACTATCGCAACATTCAATATTCTATGCACACAACGCTCAACTCACATGTTGATTTTTACGGAGGCGACCCGACCCGTTGGACTCACAGCGGTGAAAGAGGATGTGTTAGCTGTGAATGCCAGCCTTGCTACCCCATCACTCCCTGTTAAGGTAGCCCTTCCATGAGGTTCACACCACACACTACACTACATTCACTACCAATAAACTACCACTACATTCACTACATGCTTCAACACACAACACTTAATTCACATGTTGATTTTGACAGAGGGAGGAAAGTCAGAGAACCCAGAGAAAACCCTGCACTTGGCAAGGGAGAGAACAATACATCAAACAGACTCAAGTCTGACCCATGCTGTCTAACCAAGAATTGAAACCATGATCCCGGAGTTGAACTACATGTGAGAGACAGTGCTGTAACAGTGAATGTGACCCATACAACCATGATTAGTTCACTTACATTTTCTCAGTACTTTGAGGACAATCTCTTTTGGAATGTGATTTTGCTGCTGTCGTTTTGTTCCTGAAAAAAAGAAAAAAGAATTAAAACTAGACAATCAAATGTGGATGGATGGATGGATGGATGGATGGA